ATTATATATGTATATGTATTTATTTATATATATACAATCACTCTATATTCATAAGCATCAGCTATAAACACGTGCGTTTTAGTACAATCCAAGGAATCTCGTCCACGGCGATGCAGACACACAAGCATAATCCACGTCTTCACATTGCATGCTGCACCCACCCACACCTTTGGATCTAGATAGCTTTCTTTCACGGCAAACATACACAGTGTAGTTAAGTTGTCACACAGGACACATACGTAATGGCCTGTAGATTACGCACGATACTTCGATTATTTAAACAACATGGTATCGAAATTGTTCTATATATGTATATGTATTTGTATTTGTATTTGTTATTTGTATTTGTATATGTATATGTATATATATATATATATATGTGTGTGTGATATATATATATGTATATGTATGTATGTATGTATGTATGTATACAAACACACACACATATATATGAATATATATGTGTGTGTGAGAGAGAGTATCTGACCCACACTGCATCTGCGTACCACTTTGCACATACTCGCACCCATACAGACCTGTACAGAATAACATAGCAACGCATCAGATACCCCGACAATCTCCAACCCCCCTCTTCCCGTATAAACATACAACATAGGAGTGAGTCTTTATCACAAAGCATGCAACCACCAGTTCACAAACCATACATGCACCCACCCACCCACAGCCTTACAAACTTGCCCCGCATACTACTTCTTCACTTACCCCTACACTCACCCACACACCTTGATTTAACATACCCTGCATATCCCCATTCACCCCCCTCCAGACCATGCTCAAGTCCTTCGAGGTGGCAGAGGTGCCTGTGCGTTGTGCACGCTTCGTCGCCCGTAAGTCATGGATTATCACAGGCTCTGATGACATGCAGCTGCGCGTGTTCAACTACAACACGCTGGAGAAGGTCCACACCTTAGAAGCTCACTCGGACTACATCCGATCGGTGGCTGTCCACCCCACACAGCCTCTGTTTATCTCGAGCAGTGACGACATGCTCATCAAGCTGTGGGATTGGGAGAAGTGGCAGTGCATGCAGGTAGGGATGTGCATGTGTATGTGTATCTGGATGTGGATGTTTGTGTACGTGTACGTGTATGTGGATGTGTGTGTGTGTGTGTGTGTGTGTATGCATGTGCACGTGTATGTGTATGTGTACCTGTAAGTGTACGTGTAAGTGTATACGCACCATTGTGGAACTCAATGTATTGAATAGCAATTATGCTTCAACATCAACACCAGAATATCCCGTAGACACGATAGTAGGCTTCAATCTTGCTGGCAATCGATAAACCCTAAAATCCAAACTCCTAAATATGGCACTACCGTACATCGACTACCTGCGCACTTCTCACTATACACGTGCGTAGGTCTTCTGCTGTGGATTACCATTATCATTGTACCAACACATATGTATACTCAATAACCACTATGTGATGATGATATAACACATATGTACTCAATAACCTCTATGTGACGATGTTATAACACATGTGTACTCAATAACCCCTATGTGATGATGGTATATCACATATGTCTACTCAATAACCTCAATGTGATGATGTTATAACACAAGTGTACTCAATACGCATGACCTATCCGTACACGTACAGGTATTTGAAGGGCACACGCACTATGTGATGATGGTCGTGTTCAATCCTAAGGACGCCAACACCTTTGCCTCTGCGTCGCTGGATCGCACTATTAAGGTGTGGCAACTGGGCTCTCCCGTACCGAACTTCACTCTAGAGGGCCACGAGAAGGGCGTTAACTGTGTGGACTACTTCCAGGTAGGTGTGGGTGGACGTGCATCAGATATACGTTTATTTGATATGTACGCAAACACGTGGTAGCAAACGTAACACACACACAGTTAGTCCGGCGGATGAATTAAACGCCCTCGCTACTCAAATACCATATTAGGTACTTCCTGTATTATAATATCGGTAGCATTCTAACGCCAATGTATATTTACGTTTCACGACACACAGGGTGGCGAGAAACCGTATCTGATCTCTGGTGCGGATGATCGCACCGCTCGAGTGTGGGACTACCAGAACAAAACGTGTGTGCAAACCCTCAGCGGACACACCCAGAATGTGTCAGTGGTCTGCTTTCACCCAGAACTCCCCATCATCCTTACAGGTATGGAGTTGGATATATATGTATATGTACATGTTATATATGTACATAGCCTTCTAAATTGACAAGCCAAACATCTTAGCGGTTTTTAGGATTCGGGTGGAAAATTTGGTTTCTATTTTAGGGGTTTGGTACCAAGCTCCCATACAAAGTGGTGTATCTGACGCGATTGTTTTATGTACAATTCTAGGACTTTAAGACCTGAAATGTATTCCAATAAACTAATTAAAAACATAGCGTTAATTTCAGACAAATCGGTTTTATACTTCCTGAGATAGGTTTTGTACCACTAACGGTACAAATGGGTGATGCTAGTGATGAGCCAATTTGTACCGTAGTGGTACAAATTATATCTCGAGAAGTATCCAACCGATTTGTCTGAAATTAACGTTGTGTCTATAACTTGTTTTTTAGAGTATATTTCAGGTCTAAAATTTCTGAAAACTCTGATAAAATGGAGGGTCATCTACCCCCTTTTTGGGGGCGTACATGGGAAATTTGGTACAAATTTTTCAAGTAAAAAATAATTCAGTACCAAAAATCCATCTCAAAAAAGGTTAGGCTTGTCTATTTTAAAAGGCTATGATATGTATATATATAGATATATATTTACTTATACTTATACTTATACTAATACGTATTTATATACATATATAGGAATCTAAAAAACCTCTGATGGGCCTACAATAACAATATGCAGAATACAAATGCATGTACCTATGGCTAAGCCATTCATATACCATCCCATCCTTCTCACCCCTGACCTGTCCCACGTGTTCCCAACAGGTTCTGAGGATGGTACTGTGCGTGTGTGGCACTCGCAGACCTACCGTCTGGAGAACACACTCAACTACGGCTTGGAGCGTGTATGGGCTCTAGCCTATGTGCGTGGCAGCAATAACATCGCATTGGGTTATGACGAAGGCAGCATCATGATCAAACTAGGCAGAGAAGAACCAGCCATGAGCATGGACAGCAGTGGCAAGGTGTGTGTCTGCTGTGCCTGTGCGTTTGCGCTTCTCTCTGTGTGTGTCTGTGATTGTGGGCATGTCTTCTCGTGTGCGCGCGCAGAGATGTGTATACTAAAATTCGGTATGTGTTATATATGCACTGTATGTGTTACTTAGCATGCGGTGATTGGTGTGCCTGTGATTTCCTGTGGGTATGTCTTCTCGTGTGCGCGTGCGTGCGTGAGTGTATTGTATGTCACGTGTAGGTGTGTTGTGTTACGCCCAGGCGACGGCTGTAATCTTAACACGCACGTATTAGGTGTACCTATATCTCAAGATCGTGTTTATATACACAAGGCTTCTAGTGGTCGATGCGTGTGTGGCGTTTTCTATACACACCAGTATACACTCTTGACACATGGCCACTTTCTGTTTGTCTGGCGGTCTAACATTCACTTGCACACTCCATAACGCAGTATCCACTCTTAACACACGTCCACTTTTTTTGTTTGTCTGGCTTTCCAAGTTTCTATTACATACTCCATACTCCAGTAATCCACTCTTAACATAAGTCCACTCAACCCCCCCCCACATACACCCAACCTCACCAGATCATCTGGGCCAAGCACAGCGAAATCCAACAGGCCAATCTCAAGCAAGTGCTGGAACAGGGAGTCATCAAGGACGGAGAGGCACTCACCCTCAGCACCAAAGACTTGGGCGCGTGCGAGATATACCCTCAGTCTCTGCAGCACAACCCCAACGGACGCTTTGTGGTGGTGTGTGGGGATGGCGAATATATTATCTATACCGCTCTGGCATGGCGAAATAAGAGCTTCGGTTCGGCTTTGGAGTTTGTATGGGCGTCGGAGGCGGGTAAGTATTTGGGTGGATGTGTAAGTGCAAGTGGGACAAACTATTATGTATGTTTATATATATTTATACTTATATATATATATATATATATATATACCCGTGTATACGAATGGCAAGCTATGAATATATATCTATGTATTACATATCATTCTACATACACATTCACATATATATATATGTACATGTACATGTACATATATATATATGTACATGTACATGTACATATACATATACATATAAACCTTATGTTTGTTTATGTTTATATCTATGTATTTGTAGATGTAAATCTTAGCTATGTCCACACGTATATATATATATATATATAGCCCCTACTCACTCTCTTATTTCTACATCCACTATCCGAAGATGTGTTTGCTATGCGGTGGAGCTTGTCCAAGATCAAAAATCACATGCCACCATAGCAACGAGGATATGAGTAGGCAATTCAATCCATGCGTATATATATATATGCGTATATATGTATATATGCG